TCGATTTTCCAATGTAACATTCGGACGTCGTTATTTTTTATTTTTGAGCATTTCCTCATACTCAATGGAGCTTTTTATAAAGTTGTTAACATGGAATTATATAATTATATATATATATATATATAAAATATATATATAATATATATATATATAATAATATATAATTCAATGGTTGTTAAAACGTTTTATTTAATGTTTGACAAATTGCTGGTAATAGTAAAAACTGCTATTTCATCACTTTTTTTTCTGGTGAGCATAAGCATATTTTGTTATTAATATTTGCTTATTGCTTCATCGATAAATAAATATTTGCATCACAAACGTTTTTGTCTTTTTAATTAAATGGCAATATACTAATTCAACTATTACAAAATGATGAATAATAAGATAAAGCATGAATTTAAATTTCTTCTTTAGCTCAAAGTTCTTATGTGCGTGCGTGTATGTGTGCGTGAACTATAACGAACGAGTTAGATGTTAAATTTAAATGAGTCAGGAGTCGACGCTATAAAATTAAAGGTTCGGTACGTGCGGTATACTCTGTACTGTACAGTAACGATGGAGGAAAATGGACGTTTAATATTTTTTTAAACCGGACATCACTGGTTTTTCTTTATCATTATTGCTTCCGGTAGCCATAGACGAAAATGGTTACTACTATGCACCGTTTGAGGTAGTAATACTTACCCTAAAGCATCCAATCTTATGTTGATTGCTTCTAATAATAAATTATAAACAAAAATGGAGAACCAGTACGGTATATCGATTAAGAATAAGTACGATCTTTTTCTCGAGAATGATGACCCGCTTGAAATTTTAAAGCTTCAAGAGGAGCAAAAGTTTGCAGGGAAGAAAACAGATAAAACAAAGAAGTCTTCGCCGGACAAAGAAACCAAGTCTAGTGCAAAAAGCAAACAACCTAAAGCCTCGCCTGTTCCAGCGGCCACTGAGACAAAACTGGAGAAATCCGAGGCTCCAACTGCAGCAAAAACTGACTGTAAGTACTGAGCTCTTTGTACTCTAATTCTAATTTCACTTCACTGACTGCATTCTTTGAAAAATTATTTTAATAAACAGGAATAAACAAAAGGTCATAGCTGGAAATTTAATGTATTGTAATTGCATATATGTAATGTATGTGTGATATAAAGATAGCTTGTTAAGTTTGTTAAAATGTCTAATTTTTAATGTTATGACTTAAAAAATAATTATGCTGATGAAAAATTTTGAACTTTTAGTGCATTGTTTTGGTTGAAATCACTATGGCATACTGCTGTCTATAAATTTATAAATAAAATGAATTGTAGGTTAGATCATTTAAAACTTCCCTTTTTAGCTGATAAGCAACAAAAACGTCAGAAGCCTGAGTCAAATGATTCCAGACTTTTGAAAGATCGTGGGAACAGGTCTAATTTCAAAAATGATCAGACGTCTCCTCAAGACAGTTCGTTAGTGGTTTTTTTCAATTTTTTATATTTTTCATTATAGTTTAATTTTTTCTAAATTTCAAAATGGATTCCTACTTAAATTCCATTATTATTCAGAGAAACTAATGTTATTACAGTGGTAAATTAGAAATTGGAACTTTTGAAAATCCTGGAAGTTCTGGGTCACCACAAGAAAGAAGAGGCAGAGGAAGAGGCTTTGGTGGAGGATTTAGAGGCAACAATGAACGATCTCTTAGGGATGGTGTGGATAATGGAAATGAAAGAAGGCCACCTAGACGTGGGTTTGGCAGACCCAGAAACACTTTTAGGAACAATGAAAATCATGAGAATTTTCAGTCACCAGAAGAGACTCAACAAGATGGAGTACAAGGGTTTAGAAGAGGTTTTGGTAATCAGAGTTTTGATGATAACCAACAAAATCAGACAGGCTTTCCGGATGAAAAATCTGAGCAGAATTCTGGAGAAGAGAGGAGAGGTGGATTTCGAGGAAGGCGAGGTTTTCGAACCTTTAATGGTGAGCAGAGAGGTTTTGGAGGTCCCAGAAGAAACTTTGAAAATAGACCACCAAAGCGGGGTTTCAGAAATAGTGGAGCAAGCACACATGATGAGCATGCAGAACTGAATGGATCTGATGAGTCAAGACCTTCTGCAGATCACTCAACTCAGCAAGAGCAGCCTGCAAGTTTTGGACACTGGGGAGCTGAAAATGAAACTGCTGGGGAGGATGGAACAAGTGGTCCTGCAACAAGCAACAGTGGATTTGGAGGCAGTCCCAGAAGAGGGTTCAGAGGATTTGGAG